TTGATCAATGAAGGCTCAGACTCCAGCACGGTCATCGCTACAGCGCGAAGTGTCCACGGCGGCTTGGATCTCTGCACGCCTGGCACTTGATCGTGGCGCATTAGTGAGAGACTGGCTAACAATGGTCGCGCAGCGCGGCGTGACAAGCCTAGATACAGACCGCCGACAGCACGGCATACGCCGAACTCCATAGACGACGTCGCACACTTGATGCGCTGGCTCGACCAGGAGACTGCGGCCCCTCCATAGACGAACACGTAGCCACCCGTGCTCGTCCTGTTCTGCTTGTCACCGGCGTCGTCAGCGTCCACGTAGCCGACCAGCTCCAGCGACTCAGGTCCACCGCCGAACTTCAGGGTGGTGTCACGCGTGTTGGCGAGGTAGGCGAGGCAGCGGTCGACCTCGCGCCAGTGCTGGTTGCTCCTCACCTTGAGGCCACTCCCCAGCTTGCTGCAGGCGAAGGCGATGTCCGGCCTCGTCGTCGTCGCCGCGAACTGCAGCGAGCCGACCTTCTGCCGGTACTCCTCCTCCTGCCGCTCTTGTGCCTCCTCGTCATCGAACGTGAGCTCGGCGTCGGCATCGACCGAGACCGGCGTCTTCGGGGTGCGCCCGGTCTGCTCCTTGTCGATGAAGCGCCTACGCAGCTTGTCGGCATAGCCCTGCTGGTGCAGCCACAGCTTCCCCGCCGACCTGTCGCGGACGATCTCCAGCCCGAGGTACTTCTGCACCGGCGAGATCTCACGCAGCTCGAAGGCGGACTCCAGCAGCTCCTTCAGCATCTCGGTGTTGCTGCTGGCGGCAAGCAGGTCATCAACGTAGACCAGCACCCAGCAGGCCACTCCGTCCTCTCGACCTTGAAGTAGAGAGCCTCGTCGACCTGGCTCTTCTTCCACCCGGCGCCGACCAGCATGTCGTTGAGCGCCAAGTACCACAGCAGCGGCGACTGCTTCAGCCCGTACAGGCTCTTTAGCAGCTTGCACACCCGGCCAATCCCGTCGTTGAAGTAGTCCGGCTGGGACACGTAGAGCACCCTGTCGAGCTTGCTCTGCAAGAAGGCGTTCTTCATGTCAATCTGCATCAGGTTGAGGTTGCGGACGGCGACGATGCTGAGGAAGATCCTCGGCGTGACGTAGCTGCCCACCGGCGCAAACGTCTCGTCGTAGTCGGCGCCGTACACCTGCGTGAAGCCCTTCACAACCAGCCTCACCTTCTCGCACTCGACGGTGTCGTCGACGTGGTACTTCGTCGTTAACACCAACCGGTTCTTCATGACGTTCACTCCCGGCGGGCGTTCGACCAAATCCCAAGTCCCCATGCTGATGAGGCTGCGGATATCCTCCTCCATAGCGGCCTTCACCGCCGGGCCCTTCCAGCTCGCCAACGCCTCCTTCACCATCATGGTCGAGATGTCCCAGCGGTGCTCAGGATCGGCATGCATGTCGAGGTCGAGCTCCGGAAACTCCTCATCCTCCTTGGCATCGTCATACGCCAGCTCGTCGTCGTCCACGTCATACACCGTGGTGAAGGCAGCGGGGACGAAAAAGTCGGGTGGCCTCCAAAGTCGGCGGGCGTGCGTGACGAGCACAGTGAGGAGTACGTGCCTCCATATTCAAAACTTCGGTCTTTGAATCGTGTGTGAGAGTCGAGGTGGGAGAGGAAGAGAGGGAAGAGATCTGTTTGGTGTTGTGATTCTTTCGAGAGCCTCTATAGGGGGGAGATCGCGATCAAGTAGGTGTGCCCAAAGTGGTGCGCACCCCCATAGCCTCAATCCAAACCAGGTAATGCCATTGTACAGTTACATATAACAAATAACTTAATGTCACTGATAACGATTATACAACCATACTTTACGGCATGCTCAATACCTTCCGGCATATTGACAACGGCAGTGCTTAGAAACAACACCGTTAGTGTGGTCTGCTACCATTTGGGAAGCAACACCATTCCACAACCGTTTCACCATGTCACGTAAGCCACGGGCCTGAACGCTGCAACGTCGCCGCGTCTGAACAACGATGTCAATAACGCATAACCGCTCGTACGTTGGACCAGTGCTTCATGCCACACCCTCCATGCACCTTGTCGAGGGCCCATGCAAGAATTGAGCCCAACCCAACACCATTCCACAACGGTTTCACCATGTCCCGCAAGCCATGGGCCTGAACGCTGCAACGTCGCCGCGTCGGAACAGCGATGTCGAGAACGCATCTACGCTTGTGCATTGGGCCTGTGCTTCATACCACTCCTTCTGGGCGCCTTGTTGAATGTCTGTGCAAGAATGGATGACAATCCAACGCCAAACCACAACGGATTCACCATGTTGCGCAACACACAAGCCGGAACGTCGCAGCGTTGCACTGTCTAAACACTGCTGACGGGAACGCATCTACGCTTGTGCGTTGGGCCTGTGCTTCATATCACTCTCTCTAAGCACCTTGTTGAGTGTCCGTGCAAGAATGGATGACAATCCAACGCCAAACCACAACGGAGTCACCATGTCGTGCAACACACAGGCCGGAACGTCGCAGCGTCGCACTGTCTAAACACTGCTGACGGGAACGCATCTACGCTTGTGCGTTGGGCCTGTGCTTCATACCACTCTCTCTAAGCACCTTGTTGAATTTCCGTGCAAGAATGGATGACAATCCAACGCCAAGCCACAACGGATTCACCATGTCGTGCAACACACAGGCCGGAACGTCGCAACGTCGCACTGTCTAAACACTGCTGCCGGGAACGCATCTACGCTTGTGCGTTTGGCCTGTGCTTCATACCACTCTCTCTAAGCACCTTGTTGAATTTCCGTGCAAGAATGGATGACAATCCAACGCCAAACCACAACGGATTCACCATGTCGCGCAACACACAGGCCGGAACGCGGCATCGTCGCACTGTCTAAACACTGCTGCCGGGAACGCATCTACGCTTGTGCGTTGGGCCTGTGCGTCATACCACTCTCTCTAAGCACCTTGTTGAATGTCCGTGCAAGAAAGGATGACAATCCAACGCCAAACCACAACAGATTCACCATGTCGCGCAACACACAGGCCGGAACGGGGCATCGTCGCACTGTCTAAACACTGCAGTCGGGAACGCATCTACGCTTGTGCGTTGGGCTTGTGCTTCATACCACTCTCTCTAAGCACCTTGTTGAATGTCCGTGCAAGAATGGATGACAATCCAACGCCAAACCACAACGGATTCACCATGTCGCGCAACACACAGGCCGGAACGCGGAATCGTCACACTGTCTAAACACTGCTGCCGGGAACGCATCTACGCTTGTGCGTTGGGCCTGTGCTTCATACCACTCTCTCTAAGCACCTTGTTGAATGTCCGTGCAAGAATGGATGACAATCCAACGCCAAACCACAACGGATTCACCATGTCGCGCAACACACAGGCCGGAACGCAGCATCGTCGCACTATCTAAACACTGCTGACGGGAACGCATCTACGCTTGTGCGTTGGGCCTGTGCTTCATACCACTCTCTCTAAGCACCTTGTTGAATGTCCGTGCAAGAATGGATGACAATCCAACGCCAAACCACAACGGATTCACCATGTCGCGCAACACACAGGCCGGAACGTGGCATCGTCGCACAGTCTAAACACTGCAGTCGAGAACGCATCTACGCTTGTGCGGTGGGCCTGCGCTTCAAACCACTCTCTCTAAGCACCTTGTTGAATGTCCGTGCAAGAATGGATGACGATCCAACACCATACAACTACTTTTTCTCGTCTGTTACTATTCGTCAACACATTCGTTTGTTGCACTTTATGTGTGTGACATGAGACAAACCCACTACCGGCGGCAACCCCATACTAAACCAAGAGCATCAAAGTTTTGGATGTTTTTTTTTTTTTTTTAATTTATTCCGCGTACATGTTCAACACTAGGCGTTCACGAGATCACTGTACTTTGCAGGGATAAGGTTACATTCGCACTTGAGGTTCTAAAACTGTCATACTATGCGTAGATATTGATGTGTTGGCAACCATGGTTTGCCAATGCATCTCAAACGAGTCCCCACACAACACAAGCACCAGCCAAGAGGTACTTCCACCATTGAGCGGATGAGATCGAGCGGTAGGCGGGTTTATGCACGGGTGGCTACACGTACACCGTCCGATATAGCCTGATAGGGTTACAGTAATCTCTATAGTCTTGCAACCCACCCCAACCACCCTCATGCCCCACCAACCTGCTCCCGTCGCCCTCTATGCCAACACTTAGACGCTGCTCGTTGTTTGATAAGCGCGTTTCCAGTTCGCCCGTGACTCACCAGTATACTAAGTCACGGGCCGTAGCTCTGTGATGAGTGGCTACTATTTCACGTACATGTTCAACACTATGCGTTCACGAGATCACTGTACTTTGCAGGGATAAGGTTACATTCGCACTTGAGGTTCTAAAACTGTCATACTATGCGTAGATATTGATGTGTTGGCAACCATGGTTTGCCAATGCATCTCAAACGAGTCCCCACACAACACAAGCACCAGCCAAGAGGTACTTCCACCATTGAGCGGATGAGATCGAGCGGTAGGCGGGTTTATGCACGGGTGGCTACACGTACACCGTCCGATATAGCCTGATAGGGTTACAGTAATCTCTATAGTCTTGCAACCCACCCCAACCACCCTCATGCCCCACCAACCTGCTCCCGTCACCCTCTATGCCAACACTTAGATGCTGCTCGTTGTTTGACAAGCGCGTTTCCAGTTCGCCCGTGACTCACCAGTATACTAAGTCACGGGCCGTAGCTCTGTGATGAGTGGCTACTATTTCAGGTTTAGTGATAGCAGCGATTTTCGGAGAAACATAACAGTGATAGGCCGTCGTTAAACACTTCGTGATATTCAATTGCTGCGGCCCTTCAAAACAGGCTAACCAGTTTCGCGCGATAGACCTTGGCATTCCTACGGCAACCATGACACGTGCCACACATCAACAAGCAATGGAGGAGAAACAGGCCGGACGCCGAGCGACAAGAACGATGTCTAAACGGACCGATAGGGAGGGTGGCGGCGGCGCTAAGAAAACTAATGCGTCAGTTGCGCGTGGCACTGGGCTGAAAAAAGTGGCGGCAAAGAAGGTCTCGCGGGATCAAGAGAAGTCCGGCAGGAAGGCGGCAGACAACGGGAAGCAACCAATGCCACGCAAGCGTGTTTCTACAGTGAACAAATATGTGGATGTTGCCTCAACTGGAACCACGCCCGGTCCGACTAACGACGGCACCAGTGGCGGCAACGAACATCCGGAGCGAGGGAGCGCGAGTCTTGTAGTCCCGTCGGCGGAGAGAGAGGGATCGGCGACAGGGGAAAATCACGGAGGCGATCCATGCGCCGAGCATACCGCAACCAAGGAGTCCAAGGCGGAGGCATCTCAACACCATCTGACGCTACTCCAGCCGACCGTGGTCAAAATTTCTGCTGCCGTGCTGGATAAGAACAAGGTGGGGGAGCACGAGTCGATGGAGGATCCTAACCACGGCATAGCCGACGTCGGTGGCTCTCCTCCTTCTGGTGGGCGGGGGAGACGTAGGCAGAGGAAGAGCGATGAGGAGGACGATTCTGACACCGCCGTGCCCGGGGACATCACCACGCGGGCGAAGAGGCGGCAGACGACAGGCAGTGCCGACGACGCCGGTGGCGCGGAAGTTGGGAGAACGCGAGGCGCCAGTGAAGCTAGTGGCAAAGCGACGGGTCATGCATTGCGCCAAAAGGGCCGACCCGCAGCAAGAAAAACATCCAGCGGAAGGAGGGGCAAGAAATGGGGTCGTGAAGACCCTGGTGAGGCCGAGGAGGAGGATGCGCAGGAAGAGGAGGATGAAGAGGATGCGGAGGAGGATGACGCGGATGTTGGGGAGGATGAAAAAGATGAGAATGATGGCGGGGAGGACGAAAAGGAGGAAGAGGAGGAGGAGGAGGAGGAGGAGGAGGAGGAGGAGGAGGAGGAGGAGGAGGAGGAGGAGGAGGATGAGGAGGAGGATGATGAGGAGGAGGAGGAGGAGGAGGAGGAGGAGTAGGAGGAGGAGGAGGAGGAGGATGAGGAGGAGGAGGAGGAGGAGGAGGAGGAGGAGGAGGATGAGGAGGAGGAGGAGGAGGAGGAGGAGGAGGAGGAGGAGGAGGAGGAGGAGGAGGAGGAGGAGGAAGAGTAGGGGGACGACGAGGAGGAGGATGAACAGGAGGAGGAGGAGGAGGAGGAGGAGGAGGAGGAGGAGGAGGAAGAGGAGGAGGAGGAGGAAGAGGGGGAGGAGGAGGAGGACGTGGCGGCAGTGAAGGGACGGGGCGGGCGTGGCAAACGGCAGAGTGGTACAGGGAAGGTGGGGGGCCGGACTCGCCATTCCCGAAAACGCGGGGCAGTTGACGCCGCGCGCGGCGCAGCAGCTGGCAGACCGAAAGCGCGTAAGGTGAAGGTCGAAAATCAAGGGGGTGGTAAAAAGCAAGGGCGCCAGGGAGCAAAAGGGGATGGAGGAGGTAAGGGTGGCGGCACCAAAGGGGTTCCATCGGGTACTGGCAAGAAAGAACCTGCCGGTAAACGTCGCAGCGGCCGTCAAAGCACCCCGCGGAAAGGTGGCAACGAGAAGGCGCTGGCCCCAAAAAAACCGAAGGGACAGCAGAAATGTGAGCACTCAGGCCAATAGACCGGGCGTGGTTGTTGCACTCTTTGCGCAACCGTGCCAAATAACATCATTCTACACGTTGTTTCTCCCCTGCAGGGAAGGAGAAGGACGATTAATCTGCAAAGAAAGGTAAAGTCTCCTGTCTCAAAACAGTACACGGCTAAGCCCAATTTAGATTCAAACCATTGATTTCATGCATGACTGTCTGGCCCTGTATTGATACCGATCAACTTTAATTTCTTGATCCTACTCCCTCTAAATCTCAGCCCCTCGTGTTACAGGCATTGGGCCACCGGTAAGCGTGCAACGGATGCAGCGAATGAAGGGGGCTAGAAGAGCGAGTGTGACACCGCTATCCACAGGAGCCCCAAGGCTCTTCACGCCGTACTCCGGCCCAAGAAAAGTTGTTGCGACGGCTCCCGGCGCGCCAAGAGGAGAGGAATCCGAATCACCTCCACCAGGCCCCGTCACGCACTCCCCACTCGCCTCACCCTCATACCCATTTCGGCCGCTACACGCTTCTCCTATCCGGGGCAGGGCGGTCCCCCCCCCGCAAGTCCTTCGCGCGGGCATCAGCCAAGCACTTCTACCAATCCCTTCCCTGGGCTCCCCTTTTCCCGCCAGCCTGATAGTGTGAGGGCACACAGGACAGCTGAAGAAGATGCTGAAACCCTTGGCCAGAGGGGGGATTCTTCACACCCTTTTCCACCGCTCATGGGTGCCCTAGGTGAAAGTGCGGAGCACGAGCAGTTTGTTACACGGGAGGAGCTCCAGGCGCTGCGGTATGAGATGTACGCCATGTTTGCACAGCTCGGCCTGCGTCGTGGAGTACCTGCCAGTTATGCCGGGGGTTTTGCAACCGCGCCTATGGCTGGTACCCCGCCGCCGATGAGTGCTGTGGACAAGGCACGAGCGCTAGTGTTGCAGGAGACAAACCCATTCCCGGTATGTGGCGGGCCAAATGGGGTGGGTTGGGGCTGACGTGGGGGCTTGGAAGAGTACACAGGAGCGGCGCGTGACGAGGTGACTCGTGTCAGGTGGGTGGGGTGACATGGCATGGGGTGGGTGGGTGGGTGTGATGTGGCAAGTGGGGCTGGTTGTTCCCTGACGTGGTGGATGGAGGAGGGTGTGACGTGGCGGGATGTGAGGCTTGGGGTTGATGTGGCAGCTTGGACGGGTACACGGGAGCGGCGCGTGACGAGGTGACGCGTGTTAGGTGGGTGGGGTGACGTGGCATGGGGTGGGTGGGTGGGTGTGATGTGGCACGTGGGGCTGGTTGTTCCCTGACGTGGCGGATGGAGGAGGGTGTGACGTGGCGGAATGTGAGGCTTGGGGCGGACGTGGCGGCTTTGACGGGTACACGCGAGCGGCGCGTGACGTGGTGACACATGTCAGGTGGGTGGGGGATGACGTGGCATGGGGTGGGTGGGTGTGACGTGGCATGTGGGGCTGGTTGTTCCCTGACGTGGCGGATGGAGGAGGGTGTGACGTGGTGGGATGTGAGGCTTGGGGCTGACGTCGCGGCTTGGACGGGTACACGGGAGCGGCGCGTGACGAGGTGACGCGTGCTAGGTGGGTGGGGTGACGTTGCATGGGGTGGGTGGGTGGGTGTGATGTGGCACGTGGGGCTGGTTGTTCCCTGACGTGGCGGATGGAGGAGGGTGTGACGTGGCGGGATGTGAGGCTTGGGGCTGACGTGGCGGCTTGGATGGGTACACAGGAGCGGCGCGTGACGAGGTGACGCGTGTTAGGTGGGAGGGGTGACGTGGCATGGGGTGGGTGGGTGGGTGTGATGTGGCACATAGGGCTGGTTGTTCCCTGACGTGGCGGATGGAGGAGGGTGTGATGTGGCAGGATGAGATGCTTGGGGCTGACGTGGCGGCTTGGACGGGTACACGGGAGCGGCGCATGACGAGGTGACGCGTGTCAGGTGGGTGGGGGGTGACGTGGCATGGGGTGGGTGGGTGGGTGTGATGTGGCACGTGGGGCTGGTTGTTCCCTGACGTGGCGGATGGAGGAGGGTGTGACGTGGCGGGATGTGAGGCTTGGGGCGGACGTGGCGGCTTGGACGGGTACACGCGAGCGGCGCGTGACGTGGTGACACGTGTCAGGTGGGTGGGGGGTGACGTGGCATGGGGTGGGTGGGTGTGACGTGGCACGTGGGGCTGGTTGTTCCCTGACATGGCGGATGGAGGAGGGTGTGACGTGGCGGGATGTGAGGCTTGGGGCTGACGTGGCGGCTTGGACGAGTACATGCGAGCGGCGCGTGACGAGGTGACGCGTATCAGGTGGGTGGAGGGTGACGTGGCATGGGGTGGGTGTCAGATTTATATGACATAGCTATTGTAGGCTATAGTGGGGTAGCACATATGGGGTACAGCTTTCTAGGGTTTGTATTTGTACCCAACTTTCACTTAGTCAATCCATTCTCGTTCATTTTCACATGGTATCAGAGCAGTAATCTCCTGGCCTGTGGGTCCCACCACACTCCTTCCGCTGCAACTGCTACTCTCCCTTTCCGCCGCGCGCCTGCCCGCTGTGCGCCCCGAGGCGCGCGGCGGTTCTCTTCCCGCCGTGCGCCCCGAGGTGCGCGGTGGGTTTCTGCCCCATCACGCCGCGCGCCGCTCCCGGGAGGCGCTGCGACGGGCAACGGGGACCTCCGCGTCGCCCCCCGTCGCCCGTCGTGGCCTGCGCGCGGCACGTACGGGCTGCGCCAGGCCCGGACGCGGCCCGTATGGGCTGCGCCAGGCCAGCGCGCGGCCCGTACGGGCTGCGCCAGGCCCGCGCGCGGCTCGGGCCGCCTGCGCGCGGTTCGGGCGGCTGTGCCAGGCCCATGGGCGGCCCTTTCCTTGCTGCCCTTGCCCTCCCCGCTGTCCCCCGTGCTTCTACTGGCGCCCCACCCCTCCTACAGCCCGTTCTTCTGAATTAGGGTTTGGGGGTGAGGGGTATGGGGGTGAAGCCACTGTGTGCTGTTCCCTGCTCCTCCTCCTCCGTCTCCCTGTGCTGTAGCTGCCGCTGAGGGGGGGTGGACTTGTTGGAGCCGTTGGAGTGGTACTAAGGGGGGGTGAAGGGGGAGTGGAGCTAGCGGTGTAGCAGTGGGTGTGTGTCAGGGGGAGTGGGATAGTTTGGGGAGGTTGAAGGGGGTGGCCGCCGTGAAGCCAGCAGCTCCAGTCGCCCGTGAGACCGTTGCGCCAGTCGCCCGTGAGCCCGTTGCTCCAGTCGCCCGTGAGTCCGTTGCTCGTCTGCCACTACTTTTAGCCGCGGAGCCAGTTACTCCAATAGCCCGTGTGCTAGTTGCTCCAGTTGCCAGTGTGCCAGTTGCTCCAGTTGCCCGTGTGCCAGTTGCTCCAGTTGCGCTGTGTGCCAGCAGCTTCAGCTGCCGCCCACTACCTCCTCTCCTCTCATAGTCTCATTCCTCCTCCTCACTTGCCCGTTGTGACTACCACTAGCTTTGCTCATAATTGTGAACTTTAAACTATTGCTTCTTGAACTTGTGCTCAGAATGTGTGGTGACATTGTGATCCACCCTAAGCTTATTATGCTTTGCTTGCTTTGCTGATTACACCCCACTTTGGCTATGGGGGTGTGTCAGAATGTTACTGTTCTCTAGCCTGCAGTGGGGTACTCTATAGTGAGTACAACCCCTTAGGGTTTGCTATATGTTTCCTGCTGCTTTCTAGTGAACCCTCTCTTTTCCCTTGGGGGGTGACGTGGCATGGGGTGGGTGGGTGTGATGTGGCACATGGGGCTGGTTGTTCCCTGACGTGGCGGATGGAGGAGGGTGTGACGTGGCGGGATGTGAGGCTTGGGGCTGACGTGGCGGCTTGGACGGGTACACGCGAGCAGCGCGTGACGTGGTGACGCGTGTCAGGTGGGTGGGGGGTGTCGTGGCATGGGGTGGGTGGGTGTGATGTGGCACGTGGGGCTGGTTGTTCCCTGACGTGGCGGATGGAGGAGGGTGTGACGTGGCAGGATGTGAGGCTTGGGGCTGACGTGGCGGCTTGGAAGGGTACACGCGAGCGGCGCGTGACGAGGTGACGCGTGTCAAGTGGGTGGGGGGCAACGTGGCATGGGGTGGGTGGGTGTGACGTGGCACGTGGGGCTGGTTGTTCCCTGACGTTGCGGATGGAGGAGGGTGTGACGTGGCGGAATGTGAGGCTTGGGGCGGACGTGGCGGCTTGGAAGGTTACACGGGAGCGGCGCGTGACGAGGTGACGCGTATCAGGTGGGTAGGGGGTGACGTGGCATGGGGTGGGTGGATGTGACGTGGCAAGTGGGGCTGGTTGCTGGTGGATGTGGCGGATGGAGGAGGGTGTGATGTGGAAAGTTCATACACTCCATCCTGTGGTCAGGCGGCCACAGTCATAACTGATGGTTTCTCTCTCCGCATGTTGTGTTGTAAACCCCACACCTCTGCGCAGAACAAGGCCTACTTAGTGTGCTCTCAGCTCCTGTTTCTGAACTCCCCGGAAAAAATCCAGTACTACCCTACACCGGAGGAAGTGTTCGAGGCGTTCGCTGTCCACTTGTCTGCCGAAGGGCTCGAGTCAATGAAGCTGCTGTAGTTGCACAACGACAAGTCAACCATGGGTGTCTTCAACCACCAGATGTCGTCAACCAGGTCAACAATCAACAGCACCCTCAGGCCAGCAACGTACGCCGGCATGGGCCTCTCCGATTACGCCCATCTCGTGGATACCCTGCCCACTGAGCTACACCCAAAGAAGTGGTTCAACCACGAGGATCTCCTGGCCGAGTACAGAGATGGTATGTGCAACTCGAACACACCATATCTCCCTTCCCATATGCCAGGTGGCAGCTACAAGTAACCGTGCGGTGTTCCTCACCCTGACTCTCACCCAGCCACTTGATTTCTATGCACCCCCTTTCCAACCCGTACGCTCCCTCCCAAAATGCAGAACAGTGGGCCCTCAACTGGCACTTTGACAAGGCTACCGGAACGCCCTTCAGCAACCCCTTGTTTGCTTATGCGTTCAAGCTCTCCTTCAAGAGGGGCGGGGTCGTGTTCAACAAGTTCAAGAGCCGCATGGTGGCATGGGGCATGTTTTCGGTAAGGATGTAGATATGTGTCTGTACACCCATGCCTCATGTCTCGGGAGATATGGATCGCCTGTACTTCATCTAAATCCCTGGTCGCTTAGGCGTTTGCGGTTACGTAGGGTGTGTCGTCTTCACCGCTTTCAGTTGGCCCATAACCCCCCCCCCCCCATACTCCATCCACCCAACCCTACACCACATTGTAGATCGAGTGGCCCCTTCTGCAGGATAAGCGTCGTAAGCGAATTCCGGCCCAGCCGGAACAAAACAGGCCGGACTACTTCGAGTGGTGTGACAAGGTCAAACAGATGATACACTTTGCCGCCATGGAGCGGCGGATCCCACACGATCCGGCTCAGGGTGCGTTCGTCTTCCCGAACAAGTTCCTCATCGACGATGCCGACCTTGGAGATGTCATTCTTGCCCACCGGGCGATTGCAGGGCCCAGCATTGCGTAGGCTATTTGACCTGGTGCTAAAACTGCTGGTTGTTAGAATGCTGAATAATAGTTGTTGTTTACCAAAATATTGAATGTAATTCTGAAATCCTCAATACCCAAAATAAAACAAAACCAAAATCCACTTTATAATATTTTGGTACCGAAATTGCACCAAAACAGATTGCGCCGGAATGTCATCCGGAAAAGCTCGCGTGCCAATTTGAAACTTGGCCCGAGCCAAACCTTGTCGCGAGATATGTGTCGGAGCTCCTATCAAATGATTCCAATCGTCGCTCGAAATAGGGTCCGGACTCTGTTACGCGAAGGCAACCCCAATCAAAATTCGTCCAAACTTGGCATAGGGTTTTTGTGATGCCGCTTTCTTTTTTCCTCGTCTCCTTCACCATCTCAAGCAATTGCAGAATCTCTTGCAGCTTCGTCAAACTCCCTAGCGGTTCGTACGTAAACATACCAATGTCGGATTCCCACTCCTTGGGAAGGCCTTGAATTATGTAGTCGATCATCTCGTGCTCCGTCTCCGTGGCTCTCATCACCTGCAAGTCGTCGTTGTAGCTTTTCGCCCTTGGTGTAGGTGATGATTTTCTCGCATTTCTCCATGCTCAGCATCAGCAGTTGCTCCAGAATCGCTTTCTTGTTGACATCGTTGATGCCTATGTACGTGGATTCCAGGTACTCCCACGCTCGATGTGAAGAGTTCCGCTCCCGTGCAAACTGGTCCAATTCCACTGCGACTCCATCAGCAACCGAGTGACAAAGCTTAAAGAACGCTTGCTTACTTTGCCTTTTTAACGCCGTTATTTTCTCCTTCGTATCCGTCGTGGAAGGCGCAACTCCCTCCTTCATCTCCTCGTCGGGACGATAGCATGGCAAGAGGTCAACCTCCTCTGCCCTCCGAATAAACTTCTTCCGCCACACGTTGTAGTTGCTGCCGTTAAAGCGTTAGGCTTCACTGAGCCCGATCGTCGGTTTCGCCGCCAAACGGCCGCTCGCAAAGGCCTCGAGAAGAGCCTTCAACTGCAGGTCTTCAAGACTCATGCTGGACCCCAACTCGCCTCGTCCGTCATGGCGTAGGCGTGAATAACTCCTCTTCTCCGCTAATTTCACTTAGCGCACCAAGTGAATTCACGACGATACCAGTTCGCCAAGCTCTGATACCAGTTCTAGGTCGGCAATGTTCTACTTGCTAGTGCCTATCGTGTTCTCGACGATCACCCAATTCCAATTATGTGCACAGCTCTGCTTGAAGTTGTCAATACACTTCAGCAATTTTCAGAATCTGATTCGTATATTGTCCAGAATGAGTACAAGCAGTTTTATTGTCCAACAAGATACAAAACGCGATTCGTAACGTAAATTGTTTCCCAATTAATCTCGCGCGCGCCTCGGGACCCTGAGTCGCAAACGGAACCGAACCGAATTCGGTGAACACCCCTCGAGTCCGAAACCAGCACCATCTCGAACGCGCCTAGGTCTCGAACCACAATTTCCCCCGTCGATCTCATTTTCGATGCTTCTCCTTCTCTCTTCCTCCTAGCACATTTCTTCTCGATTTCTCTCCCGCTTCTCAAGCCGTAGCTTCTATTCCCCACCGTAGGCCGACTTCCACCGTCGTCGATCTAGAATCTCCCACGCGCTTCCATTCCGCCGTCATTCCGCATTTCGCCGTAGGTTCCGTGGTTTGGCGAACAATCCCTAACAGACTGTTTCCGATGCACGCATGGCGGGTCGAATTCGCGTGCTGAACGTGGTGGCAGCGGTTGCCATCGTGGTGATTCTGTACTATGTGGGTCGGCCGCTGTACTGGGAGATGGAAGCGAGGTTGCAGGAGTACCGCGAGGGCCTCTCGGACGCCACTGCCGCTGGCACGACGGGAACAGCAGCGCAGGGAGGAACCATTCGGCCCGTAGGCAACGCGCGAGGTGCGGTACGGGTTTCGAGGTTGCCGGGATGGTGAGTCAGTGAGTTTAAGGCTTCATCGCACTCGTGGCTTGCCGCTCGGGCCGCTCACCCGCTCTAGTCCCACCCTCCCCTACCTAGTCTCCACCTCCACCATCTGAATTCCCACGCCCTCAGTAGTCCTACCTTCGAAGGTCCCCCTCTGTAGTCGAGCCCTCTCTAGTCACACGCCTCTTTTTCCCTAACCCCTCTCAACTCACCCTCCCCTCGCAGCACCCCTCTCTCTGCGCGTGCCTTCACCCATCGCAGGGTAGAGGCAGCAGCACGTGAAGGCGTGGCCAAGGCAGCATGTGCTCCGCTCCTCAATGCCCTTCACACTCACGCTGCTCACCCTCTCTACTCTCACACCTTCTTCTCTCACCCTCTCTGGTCACACACCCTCTCTCCCGCAATCTGTCTCCCCCTGTCCCCTGTCTCCCCCTGTCCCCTGTCTCCCCCTGTCCCCTGTCTCCCCCTGTCCCCTGTCTACCCCTGTCCCCTGTCTCCCCCTGTCCCCTGTCTCCCCCTGTCCCCTGTCTCCCCCTGTCCCCTGTCTCCCCCTGTCCCCTGTCTCCCCCTGTCCCCTGTCTCCCCCTGTCCCCTGTCTCCCCCTGTCCCCTGTCTCCCCCTGTCCCCTGTCTCCCCCTGTCCCCTGTCTCCCCCTGTCCCCTGTCTCCCCCTGTCCCCTGTCTCCCCCTGTCCCCTGTCTCCCCCTGTCCCCTGTCTCCCCCTGTCCCCTGTCTCCCCCTGTCCCCTGTCTCCCCCTGTCCCCTGTCTCCCCCTGTCCCCTGTCTCCCCCTGTCCCCTGTCTCCCCCTGTCCCCTGTCTCCCCCTGTCCCCTGTCTACCCCCTCCTCCTCTCTTCTCCATGCGTGGAGGACTCGAGACAGCAGCACTTCAAGGCCCACCTGAAGGAAGCATCTCTTCCCTCCTGCCTCCTGCCTCCTGCATCCTGCCTCTTGACGTCCTTCACTTTGAAGCTACCCACCCTCTCCTCTCTACTCACACACACCAGTCGCACGTCTCTCTCTCGCCGTGCGTGCAGGGCTGGAGGCAGCGGCGCTGCAGGGCCTGCCCAGGGAGGCGTCCATGGCGCTCATGGCGCTCGACGTGGTGGACCCTGACGCTGCCTCGCCCGCCAACCCCGCTGCAGCACACCACGTCCCGGCTGGACCAGTTGCAGCAGCGGAATCAGCTGGAGCGACAGGGTCGGGAGGGGCAGACGAGGCAGGAGCAGCGGAAGGAGAGGTAGGGGCAACAGAAGAGACAGGAGCATCAGGGGCAGCAGGGGCAGCAGGGGCAGGGGGCAAGGAGGAAACGCCAGGCGCAGCAGGAGTATCCCTGGATCTCCCTTCAGACGCACCTGCAGCAACGGCCCCGGCACTAGGAACGACTGCTGGAGAAGTGGATGCAGGCGCGACTTCCACGGATTCATCTGGGGCAGGCGCATCTGGGGCGGGGCCATTCGCGAATGGCGTGCGCCCCATTCTGCACGAGGGCAGGCCGCTGCTGGCCGCCCTGAAGCGCGAGATCTGGGAGAAGCCTCCCCCGGGCAGCGCGGTGCCAGCGAGGGCCGAGTTCGCCCTGCGGCGGGAGATGGTGGAGCAGCGGCAGCGCGAGGGCGTGGTGGTGGTGACGTTCGCCAACCACGCGTTCCTCGACTTCGTGCTCAACTGGGTGCGCCACCTCACCGACCTCGGCGTCCACAACATCCTCATCGGTCAGTGCCACCTGCCTTGCCACCTGCATTGCTCGCTGCCCTGCTTGGAATGCACTGGACTGATCCGTGCATGTGTCTCAGCTCTGGCGAGCTCACTCCAATGGTCCAAAATGATAGTGTCCTTCCGTTCCGTGTGCCTACATGCGCCCACAAGGTGCCACGGACACCAAAGTTCTGAAGGTGGCATGGGCAACGGACCACCCGGGGCGGGGTGCGGCAGTGGGCCATCGGTGCCATGGGGAGCAGGAAAGGGCTTACTCCCCATGCCCCCTCATTTCATGCACATACCTCTCCTGCATCAGGCGCTGTGGGCATGAATTTTCTGACAGCCCTTTGCGGGCAGGGCAGGGCGTGCCGGTGTTTGACTTGGGCTGTGCACCGTGACCTCACATGCAAGAGCATCCCCTCTTCTCACTTGCCTCCTGCTGCCCACGTTCCCCCACCAGGCGCCATGGACACCAGGCTGCTGGAGGCGCTGTACTGGGAGGGCGTGGCGGTGGTTGACGGGGAGAGCTGAATGACAACAGACGGCCCGCCGTGGGCCACGCCCGTGGTCGGTTGGTGCCCTGGGGAGCACGAAACACCATGACTCCGCATGCTCCCCGCCTCTCATGTCCGTTCCACCCCCATATCAGGCGCCATGGACATCAAGTTCCTAGAGGCGCTCTGCTCCCCCTCTCGCAACAACAATCCCACCACGTCTCCCCCCTCCCCCGCTACCCATCCCCCGCCCCCGCCAGGCGCCATGGACACGCGGTTCTTGGAGGCGCTGTGGAGGGAGGGCGTGCCGGTGTTTGACCTGGAGAGCGGCATGACCACGGACGACCCGGGGTGGGGCACGCCTGTGTTCCACGCCATGGGGCGCGAGAAGGTGACGCTCATCAACGTGTTCCTGTCGCTGGGCGTGCAGCTGCTCATCTGCGACACCGACACCGTCTGGCTCAGAGTGAGGGCGAGGGGGGGTCGCTGCGTTGCGAGTAAGAGGCGTCTGAGAGTACCTGTGTGGCTGCGAGTGAGGGGGGCCTTGGTGTGTGCATGCTTGTGTGGGGCCAGGCCAGGGGGCCAGGGGTGGGCGCCAGGCGTGCACCTCATCATCTTTCTCACCGGCACCGTCTGGCTGCGGGTGAGGGAGGTCTCTGTGGGTGTGTGTGTATGTGTATGTATGGGTTTGTGAGTGGGTGTGTGTATGGGTGCGTGTGTGGGTGTGTGTGTGGGTTTGTGTGTGGGTGAGTGCATGGGTTTGTGTGTGGGTTTGTGTGTGGGTGTGTGTGTGGGTTTGTGTGTGGGTGTGTATATGGGTTTGTGTGTGGGTGTGTGTATGGGTTTGTGTGTGGGTGTGTGTATGGGTACGTGTGTGGGTGTATGTATGGGTGCGTTTGTGGGTGTGTGTATGGGTGTGTGTGGGTGGGTGTGTGTATGGGTGTGTGTCGGTGGGTGTGTGTATGGGTGTGTGTGGGTGGGTGTGTGTGTGGGTGTATGTGTGTGGCACGTGAGCGCATGAGTCAGTCTTTTCCCCCCATTCTCACGTCCCATGTGCACCCTTCCTCTCACAACCCTTTACCCTCGCAGTCACTTATTTTCCCCTTCCCGCCTCCAATCTGCCCCCACCTCCCAGAATCATATACCCTCACACTCTCTCATATTTCCCCCATCCCGCCTCCCAAACGCCCCGCTCCTCCCAGAATCCCCGCCTTTACATGGCTCGATACCCCCAAGCGGGCGGACAACTAGACTTGTGGTTGAACCCCTCACCCCCTTCCTCTCCCCATGTCCGCCTGTGTATCTGATCGATATGCCCTAGGTGCCTCACTCCCCCGGTTTTCCCCCATCACACAACCCCTCCCCACCTCCCAACGAGCCCCGCCGCTCAGAACCCGCTGCCGTACATGGCGCGCTACCCCCAGGCGGACGTGCTGACGTCATCGGACCATCTGGTGCGGTCGGTGGACGACGAGTCGCTGGAGCACTGGGACCAGGGTGAGTCGCTGGAGCACTGGGACCAGGGTGAGTCGCTGGAGCACTGGGACCAGGGTGAGTCGCTGGAGCACTGGGACCAGGGTGAGTCGCTGGAGCACTGGGACCAGGGAGAGTCGCTGGAGCACTGGGACCAGGGTGAGTCGGTGTGCGCGCTGTGTTCCCATGGTGCGCTGAGGTAGGCGTAGTGGAGTAGAGGGGGAAAGGGGCTGATGAATGATGAATCGAGTGGGCTCACGCAATGCGACCATCCCGTGCGCTCTGTGGAGCGGGGTGAGTGAACGATGAAGCAGTCGGTTTAGAGTATCACTTTTATTTGTTGCTCTCTCTCTCTTATTCTTCCCTCCTCCCCATTCCCCTACTCCTCCCCATTCCCCTCCTCCTCCCCATTCCCCTACTCTCCCGTCCCCTCCTTCTCATTCCATTCCCTCCCCCTGACCCTTCTCCTCGGGATGATCAAACGGCCCGACCCGACCCGACCCGACCCGACCCGACCCGACCCGACTTGGGCGGGCCAGCCGGGTTCCGGGTCGGGTGGGGTCGGGTCGGGTCGGAACATCAAAGATCTCTTGCCCGACCCGGGTATCGGGTGCCGGGTCAGGCTTGACCCGCCCCCGGGTCGGGTCGGGTCGGGTCGGGCCGACTCCCATAGGCAGGCAGGGTTAGAGGTTCTCCTTAATACTGTGCAGGACCTTGGCGAATGACGTTTCTCGAAGCCTTCAGCAGGGCCGCGGCTCTAGCGACCTGCGCCTGCACGGCACGCCGAGATGCCCTAAAACGCGGGCCTGCAATGCGTGCGCCTAGGGATGGAGCGCGACCTGTTAATTTCGGATTAAAAGGAAACCCTAGACTGGTTGGCGAAGTGCGAATAACTTATAAAAAACCGATTGGCTGAGTACTAACTAAACATTATCGTAGGTTATAGGGTAGATTAGTACGCCAATGTTGCTTGGGGGTGGCTGCTGGCGTCACTAGCTAGTTAACTTAGCTTAATCCAGATCGAAATGCTAGTCGCTGAGAAAACAATCAAGCGTGATTGCGATCTGGATAACATTGTCGAGAGGAAACCCTCGGGTCGGGCCAGATACCCGACCCGACATAGGGCGCGGTACCCGAAACCGGGTCGAGTCCATAATCGGGTCAAAAACTGACCCGACCCGACCCGACCCGGAATCGGGTCACGAGTCGACCCGACCCGGCCGGGTCAGCGGTTCAGAACTCCTGACCCGACCCGCCGGGGCGAGATGCTCATCCCCCTGTGTAGCCCAGGGGGTATATAGCATTGACACCCTGCAATTATTTCTCTCTCTCTCTTGTTCCTCTCCCCCCTCCCTTCCCTCTCTCCCCTCGGTCCTCCCTCCTCCTCCCCCCCACCCGCTATAGCCCAGGGCACATAGAGCATCGGCATCCTGCACGTCTTCCCCACACGCCTGACAAGGCGGTGAACATATATCTCTTCTGTTGTTGCTCTTTCATCGTCGTCCCTCCTCCGCATTTCCCTCCTCTCCCTTCCCCTCCTCCTACCCCCTGTAAAGCAGGTCACATACAGCATCGGCATCCTGCATTTCCGCCGCACAAGCCCGGCGGCAAGGCAGATAGTGCCTCATCTGGTCACATGGCATCGTGCCGCTTGTTCACACCCGCTCTTAATCCACCCCACCCCAGGGCGCGTACAACATAGGCATTCTGCACTTTCGCCTCACCCTTACATTCTCTGCTTCTTCTCTCTCCCTGGCCCCCCCCCCAATAGCCCAGGGCGCGTACAACATAGGCATTCTGCACTTCCGCCCCACGGACCCGGCAAAGCGGTTTGCGCGCGCGTGGGCGGAGCAGCTGGCGTTGGATGCCAAGGTGTGGGACCAGAACGGTTTCAACGACCTCATGCGGCAGAAGCTGGGCCCCGACGTCAACCCCGACGCCCACGACCACGTCTTCTGGGCCTTCGACGGCTCGCTCAAGCTCGGCATCCTGCCCGTCGCGCTCTTCTGCTCCGGCCACACCTACTTCGTGCAGGTGACACACGTGCATGCCCGCATTCACTTGCGTAGACTTGAGTTGATTCGGGTCTCTTCTGAGGCTGTGGATGCTGACTTGTAGTGCTGTCCCGCTCTGGCCACAACCTGGGGATACTGCCCGTCGCACTCTTCTGCTCTGCTCTGCCCGCACCTACTTTGAGCACGTGAGAATGTGGCAACGCAGGGCAAGAGCACTACGCCATGCATCCTGCTCTCAAGCTTCCCTCTTTCCTCCTGCCTCTTCTCCCCCGTCCACCCCACCAGCACCGGTACCACGTGGGGGGCTAAACGGTTCAGCCGGAACCCTTTTTCCATGCATCGCACTCTCGCACTTCCTGTGCCCCCTTGCCCTTTCCCCCATCCCCCCCCATCCCCTCTCCCTCCCACCCGCGCCCCTGGGCGGCCACCAGCACCTGTACCGGCGGGTGGGCGTGGAGCCGTACGCCATGCACGCCACGTTCCAGTTCGCGGGCACCAACGGCAAGCGCCACCGCTTCCGCGAGGCCATGGCGTTCATCGACCCCCCGGAGTACTACGACCCTCCAGGTACCGTGGACTGGTGCATGCCATGCCATGAGACGGCTAGTAAAGGGGACAGGCAGGCGCATGGAAAGCGGCAAGCGGCATGGCTTCAGAGAGACCGTGGCGTTGTTTGACCCTCCCGAGTACTGTGACCCGCCAGGTGGGGAGCTGAGAATCTAAACAGTGGCCTAGTTATAAGTAATGAGAGTGCGAATAAGTGGGTGAGGCAGGCACATGGCACGCAGACGGACAGCAAGAGGCATTGCTTCAGTTCAGAGAAGCTGTGGCGTTGATTGCCACTTTACTGCAATTCGCCAGTCACAGTGGCCTTAACTTGGTTGAGACAGTGGTTTGTACATGTTCATCCCTGCTTCATTCTGCTGCTTTCATTCAGGCTCCACATGCTGTGTGCGTGGCGTACCTGCCAGGTGGCGTGCTGTCATTCGTTAACAACATTCCGGAGGAGCTGCTGACAGGTGGCGACCACTCTCTGCAGACGCACTTCAGCCTCGTCAACTACCAGGTCAGCTCCCTGCCAGGTCAGCTCCCTGCCAGGTCAGCTCCCTGCCAGCCCAGTCAACCAGGTCAGCCAGTGCTAGACGAGCAGCCAAGCAGCAGGAATCAACCTGGTCAACCCTGCCAACCTCTAGGCTAGCATACTTATATTCTCTCACACGCTGCCACGTGTCATTTTAAGCGTGTGAAAAGTCCCTCGTCTGTCGTCTTCTGCCCTCCACTCATGCAACTATCAGCATCCGTCTCAGACACGGTCCATGCCATCACTCACTAATACTGGGCTCGACTTGAGTCAATTTGACTGATCTCCCTCTTCTATGCTTCCTCTCCTCCGTGCATCCATCGTGCAGCTCGTCAATCTCAGAGCAGCGCTCGCCATCGCCACAATACTCAACAGAGCACTCGTAAGTCTTTGTCTCACCCGCCCCGCCCCGCCCCGCCCTGCCCTGCCCTGCCCTGCCCCGCCCTGCCCTGCCCTGCCCTGCCCTGCCCTGCCCTGCCCCGCCCTGCCCTGCCCTGCCCTGCCCTGCCCTGCCCTGCCCCTGCCCTGCCCTGCCCTGCCCTGCCCTGCCCTGCCCTGCCCTGCCCTGCCCTGCCCTGCCCTGCTCTGCCCTGCCCTGCCCTGCCCTGCCCTGCCCTGCCCTGCCCTGCCCTGCCCTGCCCCGCCCCGCCCCGCCCCGCCCTGCCCTGCCCTGCCCTGCCCCGCCCCGCCCCGCCCCGCCCTGCCCTGCCCTGCCCTGCCCTGCCCTGCCCTGCCCTGCCCTGCCCTGCCCTGCCCTGCCCTGCCCTGCCCTGCCCTGCCCTGCCCTGCCCTGCCCTGCCCTGCCCTGCCCTGCCCTGCCCTGCTCCGCCCCGCCCCGCTCCGATCCGATCCGCTCCGATCTGCTCTGCTTCGCTCTGCCCTGCTCTGCGCATGCATGTGTTGAAGCGCGTGGGCACGACTTAAAGGAACCGTTTGATTCCCCCATCCAAAACACCTGCGCCCTTCTCCCACCACTGCAGGTGCTGCCTGCCACGTGGGTGCGGTACGATCGCATCTGGTTCCCCCACCCCGGGATACTGGACGGCACCGACACACCGCAGCCGTTCCTGGCGCCCGCGGACCACGTGGTGGAGGTGCAGAAGATGCTGCCCGGCGCACTCAAGGACGACGAGTTCGGCCCCGCCGTGCCCATCCGCGAGTACTCCTTCCTCGACAACCCACGTACCCCACAAGCGGTGAGTGCTCTGCTCTGCTCTCGCCGCCACCTCTGCCTGGGGCACATTCCACATTCCAGCACGCATGCCCCAGCCGTTGCTGCCCTGCGTGGATCATGTGCTGGAGGTGCAGCGCTGCTGCCAGACAGGCAAGCTCAAAGAGGGTGAATTTGGCCCAGCAACGCCAGATCCCCCCCTCACCCCTCCCTTTTTCAAACCATGCCAGGCTCTCCCTGGCTCTCTCACCGCTTCCCCTCTCCCACATCCCTCCCCCCTGCCACCATTGCGCAGGTGCTCAAGTCGAAGCTGGCCGTGCAGCTGTGTGACGAGGGCTCGCCCGACTGCCCCTCCACGCCCGATGGCCCCACCGACACCATTCGCATGAAGAAGAACACGCGGCAGAACGAGGTGCCGTGGGGTGGAAAGTGGGAGGGCGGGTGGGTGGTAGGGAAGCTAACGCTCGAGACCCCCACTTTGTGGAGTGGCAAGGCCCGAATGAAGAAGAACGCATGGCACAACAACCTTGAGCATGTCTCGTCCCCACTCCAGTAACCGAGTTTGGGGCGACTTGCTGTATTGAGAGAGAGGCAAGATGGCATAGCACCAGGCACAACGAGGTGACTAGATTGAAATGGTTGGGTGGGAAATGGAAGATGACTGGCTGGCTGGCAGGTATGCTGCCGTGCTGTGCTGTGCCGTGCTGCCAATCCAGTCTTTCGTTTGCCCTCATTGATCTCGCGGCCCCTCTTCCCCTCCACCTCCTACCAACGCACACACTCATCTCCTTCCCTTTCGCGTCCCCTCCCCCCATGCCACTCATCGTCCCTGCAGCTGAAGGCAGTGCTCTCGCGTTACTCAGACATCAAGTGGATCGAGTTTTCTTCCATGGTGGACTCCTTTGGAGGCTGGGACGACAAGGTGAGAGAACTTTCCCCTTCGCCTCTCCCTGTTCCTCTCCTCTTCATTCTCTTCCCATACCCTCTGTGCTCCCCCTCTCCTCTTTTCTCAAATCTAATGTACCATCTCTGTCGTGTGCTGCTGCATGGTATGCGCAGCTACTCATGTCATGTGCCGGCTCTGATGGTATCCCTAATTTGACAACTCAGTTTATGTTGCGTAGGTATGTTTTCTAGTCGACTCCGATCTCCTCCATCCTCTGTCCTCCTGTGGGCGCTTTGCATGGCTGGGTGGGCAGGCCATGGAGAGGAAGTTCAGATGGCGGCTGCGGCAGTACGTGGGCATCTGGTGCTGCGTCAATGCACAGCCAGGTATGGTGCACAGCCAGGTATGGTGCACAGCCAGGTATGGTGCACAGCCAGGTATGGTGCACAGCCAGGTACGGTGCACAGCCAGGTACGGTGCACAGCCAGGTACGGTGCACAGCCAGGTACGGTGCACAGCCAGGTACGGTGCACAGCCAGGTACGGTGCACAGCCAGGTACGGTGCACAGCCAGGTACGGTGCACATCCGGGTACGGTGAACAGCCAGGTATGATGCACAGCCAGGGATGGTGAACAGCCAGGGATGGTGAAAAGCCAGGTATGGTGAAAAGCCAGGTATGGTGCACAGCCAGGTATGGCGCACAGCCAGGTATGGCGCACAGCCAGGTACGGTGCACAACCAGGTATGGAACAAAGCCAGGTGCGGTGCACAGCCAGGTATGGTGCACAGCCAGGTACGGAGCACAGCCAGGTATGGTGCACAGCCAGGTACGGTGCACAGCCAGGTATGGTGCACAGCCAGGCATGGTGAAAAGCCATGTATGGTGAAACGCCAGGTATGGTGAAAAGCCAGGTATGGTGAAAAGCCAGTTATGGTGAAAAGCCAGGTGTGGTGAAAAGCCAGGTATGGTGGAAAGCCAGGTATGGTAAAAAGCCATGTATGGTGCACAGCCATGCCATGCCACACCTCTTGCTGCTCTGCATGCACCCACCCCACACATCGTGGGCACGCTTAGCTTTCCTGCATGCCCTGGATGCCATCCCGAGTGGAAGACATGTGGTGTTTCAACTGCATCTTACATGAGCTCACCATGTCCCCCCCTGCCCACTCCGTACCCTTCCAGGCCGCATCTGGTGCGATTGCTTCAACAATGAAATCTCCACATGTGCCTGGGTGGGTGGAAGCCTCTGATTCTAGACCTGCAAATCACTCGAATCACCATGGCGTTCCTGTCTCCCCCCTGCCCTGCCTGTCGCCGTGCAGGGCACATCTGGTACGACTTCTTCAACGATGAGATCCCGGGGTGGAAGCCACGGCCGCCAGCCAATTGGACAGAGGACCACCCGCCATGGGGCAAGGACCAACCGGGTGTCTTATGACTAGCACAGGCCCTGTGGCGGCTGCTGCCCTTCTGAGTTGATTTGAGAGTTTCAAGTCAACTAGAAGGACCACCCTCCATGGGGCAAGGGCCAAGCGGGGACAGAAGGGTTTGTCTGGAACAAGTATGATTTTTTTTGAAAGTGTGTAACACTTTCTAAAAATATGTATTGTGAAAGCGCAGCTGACTGTAGCGCAGCAAGGCAACTGCGAATTAGCATTCGCCGAATATATAAGAGGGTTGGAGGCCATTTGGCCTCCACCCACGTCTTCATTTCGGAACTTTGTTGTTCCACTCCATTCTCGTCCAACCACCAGCAGTTGCTCCTGTTTCCTTGGTTGTCGTCAACCTTACTCTAAAAAAAATAACAAGAGGCGACGAAATCGCCTTAGGGTTGCGGAGCTTTTCATATTTTTGCACAAAACATATCAATAATATCGAGATGTAACTTTCACAACACGTATGTAATGAATGTGAATTCGTTACTGTAGAGGCTACTCCTAGCGAGGACAACCCGAACTGTACGCGTCAGTTTGGGTTCGGCCCAAGGCTCTTGCTAGGATCTGAGGACGTCTGACTTATCAGACGCGTCCCCCGGGCATTAGACAAGGTTTTGTCTGATCCTGTTTGCCAAATCAAATGAATCCAAAAAAGTAAGTCTGAAAATCAGACCATCAGACCAAATTAGTCTGATAACGAGAGCCCTGGTTCGGCCTACACTTCGGCCCGAACCACTTCCGAGTCGCCCCGCACCAATCGCGACACTTCCAACCCATCCACGTCCCGAGGTCCTCGCCTACCACGGTTTCGACCCTATAAATAATTGCTTCTTTATCATTCTCGTCATTCTGTAGTTCTCATCCTTTTTATAAAGTCTTCTGCGCACTCTTCTTAGTACAACTCATAACACTTGGTATCAGAGCCTAAGTTCCTAGGTTCCCCATTTTTTAGAGTGTATTACCCCTCGGGGGGGGGGGGGGACAGGGAAGGATGCCGTGGTGACAGGAGCAGCGCAATAGCCGGCCAGGAGAACGGATAGTTGCTCCTAGCGGCCATGTTTTTACGGGCGCTCCTGCTGCACCGACGGATCCTTGCCCTCGACGGTCGAGATGGACCGTGGCCTCCCTCCCCCCGGGTGGCGGACAGCTTTTGCTGTCGTCTCATTTAATTGCATGAGTAAATTTCGTCGTTTCCATTAATCTCGGTGTTGTTTTATGCGGCAGTTGGCGTCAGGACGGTTGTCGTCACTGCATGCGCGAGATTCTCGGAGCAGCTGGTCGGGCGAGTTGAAGATTTTACGTGGTCGTAAACTGCGCACGAAGAAATCAGAGTTAATGCGTGCGGCAAGTGGCGCCGGGCGTTATCGTCACGTTGCGCACGAGAAAATCGGAGGTCTTCGGCAAGTGACATGCGGCGTCACTGTGCGCGAAGATTTCGGGTGGCTTCACGGCAGAAACGACAGCTGGCCGGGCAGTCCAGGCGCATGGTGATTTGCGTCGGAAAATGCAACGAGAGACGGCGTGGCGACTGCCCGAAGAAAGCGGGGGTCTACCGTCATCCCACCCGGGTGTGGCTGGTGTGGCTGCAAGAGGGTGCGTCGTTGGCGTTTTCGGCGGTTTTATAATCCACCGAAAAGTTCGGGAAAAACCGCCTACGACTAGACTGCCTATCGATAGGGTCACTGCTGTACCTGCACTACGATCGGCGAAATTTTCGGAGCAACAGCAACGGCCGACATTTGTGCTTCAGGCGGCACAGCACCCCCTGATCAAGGGTAGTTGCGCCGCAGACAGGACAGTACACAGGCGGGGCAACGATTTGGCGCAATGTCTAGACCCGCGTTTTTTCGGGGGTTCTACCGGCTACAATACACGGAGCTGCGTCAAGTTCGGGTCCAGCGAGAGAAACGGGTTTTGAGCTTCAGGAGGCGAGAATTACGACCCACGGGGAAACGCTCAAGCTGATGCCTAAACGTTTGCGGCTAAGCGTCGGTAGCCGGATGGGTACCACTACCGGCCGAGGTTTCCGAACGTTTCACATACCTCATGCCCAGAAGGCCTCGGATGCAAAGTGTAAGTCCTATTGGCCACTGGATCCAAAGGTGGGGCCCTGTGTTTAGCTCTGTGCTGGCTAAAAAGCGCGGGTATTGCGCCAGTTTGACAGCTGGGCGTAAAGAAAATTTCATGGTGCGACACTGTTTTGGCCCCGACAAGACCGGACCATCGGCAGCGGTAACCCCGCCGAAAAAGTCGGAGCTGAAGATTTTGGTGCAGCGGTCGGGGTTTCTCTCAATTCTACGGTCTACCCAGCAGCGGTGTAGCGGCGGAGACGGGGTTTCCGAAGCTGTGAATTGTTTAAGCGCGATAGACGCGGTGGGCAACGAAGCGGCCGGTCCGACTGTTTGATCCGATAAACATGACCGGCTACGATAGCGTTCGCGCCTTCACCGAATGTCAAAAAAATCGCAGGCAACATGGAGTTATGCCTCATCCGACAAAAGCGGGCGCTGGGTGAACGGCGGCAAGCGAAATTGTCGGGGGGTGAAGACAAAAAAACAAAATGTGATGGTGGGAAAGTTGTGGGTGATCCAACAGATCACTTGAGTGATAGGTTGAGAACGTGCACCACTCCACCACGAATTTCGGAGTCTATTCGGTAGACACCCGAAAAGGTTTGATACTTTTACATGGGAGGCGTGGCGAGGGGTGCATCGCCAAGGATACCTGGGATTCGCTAAGTAACTTCAACTGGTACAAAGACGGGTGAACGTCGGAGTACCAGGGTGAAACGGCGGAAAAGTCGGGGTTACGCGGCGGAAAATAACTTCGGGACTGCTTCCTCAACCATGATTTTCGGGTGCAACTTCGACGGTGGGAGGCGGGTGAACGTCTGCTCGCCAGCCGTTTAAGCGTTTCTCGGTGTACTTCGAAGCAGTCTCGGGGAGTTCTGCTGCGAGATCTGCGGCGTCGATGCGCGCTGCTAGTCTTAAAACGTACTAAGCTAGCTATTAACAAGCTTTAGGTGGCTATAGAACTCTCTTCTCAGGATTACCTCCGAGGGTCCTTGGGTGCCTGACCGAGGTCAGCCCCTATCCAAGGGTCCGAGTGTGTAGAGAGAGAGTCGTAGCAACAACTAAAGTGTAGTAGCGATCGTCGCTTCCTTGGCGTTGTCAAAGGAATTAACTATAACAGCGTACTTGGAGCAGGCACAGGAGAAACCCTTTACTCAAGTTATATTTGTAAAACAGCAAGAACACACAATTATATATTAGCTCTATTGCTACCTAATTCCGTTCTTCACGTTTGCAGTCTCGTTTCTCGTAGCGCGAGCACTCTCGCGTTTCCCTCCCTTTTTCTAGTTTGTAACTCGGCGGGCTCGCGATTTGTCGCTGAAACAATTCGAAAGTCGAGCGCAAAGAATTCCAATGGTGCCGATTCGAATTTTACTCTTCGCGCCATCTGCGTACGGTTGCGATGAAGACCGTTCGAATTTCGCACGAAGGGAAATGTCGGTGGCGATCAGCAAAACATTCGATCACCCAACTGCTGCTCGCCACGTGCGTCACGTTTCGAACGCACCGTTGATCCGAACTGTCAGACCTGTTAAAAAACGTGAGTAACACAATTCATTCAAACATCTCGCTGATCACGCAACCTGCACTGAAAGATGATTCGCCCGCTTTACTAAGCACGCTAATGAACACGCTAATGAACACGCTAATGAACACGCTCACGAACACGCTAACGTACACGTTGATGAACACGCTCACGAACACGCTAACGGACACGCTGATGAACACGCTTACGAACACGCTAACGAACACACTCATGAACACACTCACGAACTCACTAACGAACAAGATAACGAACAAGGACCAACATCGCTCCTCGAACAATGGCGGTGCGAGCAGCTACTCACTCGAACTCATGAGCAACTGCCATTTCGAACAGCAGCCACTCAGAACCACCAAAACATTTCGCTAAAAAACAAAATGGTCAAACTCACTCTTTTGAACACCACCAGCCACTCCTATAGGTTGAGACCAGCCTTGACTTTACCTTGATTTTACCAGACTCGCCGCTCAAATCAAATGCAGCTAAAACACCTGAACCATAACCTTAAATCGGCAGATTGAATCACAGAAAGGTATTTCTGTAATCAACACGCGCTAGGGTCCGTGAAAATCGGTCTCGGAAGACCCATAAGTACTGGGTTCCACGCCTAAAAAGCACCTCCTGTTGGTGGGTCGCTTGGGTGGTTAACCACACGGAAAAAATGGTGACCGGGTGGGCGCAATAGAAACACCGGTTCTTTCGGGGGACAACCTGCAGGCGACCAAGACTTTACGTCGTGTGGTGATTTCCGACATTTGCGGGTGGACCCAGCAGTTCCGAGAATGAGTCTTAACGGAGTCAGCGGGGTCGCTGATAATACCCGTGCCGGCGGCGGAGTTGCAGCGGTGCTTGATTAAGCGCGCGAAGGCACTCGTCGTCAAATGTGTAGCCGTACAAATTGGAAGCTGCTCGGGGGTACCAGCGACAACAATTGAGAAGTATTGCTACATAAGGGGGGAGAGGCGACAGCTGTTTTTCGCCACTGCCCGGAAGTTTTCGGCGAGTCACGACAACATCGCCGAGGTAGCTGACGTCATCGACAGTTCAAGTTCAACTTTGAAAAAATATTTGCGAGGTCAGGGGGAAGAGCAGCAGCTGTTTTTCGCCTCTGCCCGGTACTTCTCGGCCAATATCGACAAAAGCCTCGGCGAGTCTGGACAAGACTACCAGGGGCGCCTACAGCTGGAGAAGCTACAGCGAAGATTTTTGCCACAGCAACCAACCAAAAGGCAGCAGCAATTCAGGATTGCAGCAGCTGCCAACTGGAGATTGGGCAGCAATAAAGTGATTCGATACTGCCACGCGGGGGATTACGAGGTGGCAGTTACGAGAGATGTTGCAGCAACAGTCGCGACAACAAGACAACAATAAGATTTTCTTAATGCCG